CTTTCTGGTCTAAATTTTGAAAAAAGATTGAAATGATTGAAATGATGATGAAATGATTGATTGATGAAAAAAGAAAAAAAAATTGTGCTCAAGATATTTATTTACAGTTATCAAAGTGTAAAAATGTATAGGTATATATTCTGCGAAGAAGCACTGAAGCAATATCTTGTTTAGATGCTGAGAAAAGGTACATCGATTAATGTCAATTTTAGCATCCTTGGTATATCACTTGGTAAGGGGAGGTACTCACTCCCCTTAATATCTTAAATGAAGCTCAAAAAAGTATTAAATAGTGTCTGAAAGTAAGATTGATTGCACTTTTAATGTTTTAAATAGCAGATTTGTGATAAACTAAATCTTTAATTGTAAGAATAATGCATTATTTCAATTTTTTTTTATTTAAAATAAATTTTATCACCACACTTATTTATTGAATATGTTTAACAGCCACATGCTGGCGAGCACTGATGGATTTAATTGGCGCAAAAGAATTTTATACCAGTTTTTAGTTCGATTTCCTCGCCAATAAAAGTTCCAAAGTCGGTGTTAAAAGAATTTATTTATTACCTCAGGCTTTCAGATCGGTTTAGGAGACTGATTTATTGCATAGCGAAAAATGAAGCATGGTGCGCCTTCAACTTACCTAATGTAGAATGTTTAATTTTCGCCAGCTTAGGAGAAAGTATAAATCAAGATGGGAATGATATATCAACGTTTCATTAAATTTAGGTACTTGCTTCAAATTTTCTCGAAGTCAAAGTTATAATTTAACACTCTCAGTAGGATGCACGTAATTGCTTAGTTGGTGGGATATTGCATTTAATCTTGAGCCTTTATTTTATTTATGAAAGTAGTAAATGTCACTCACTCATTGTACGACTCTTGCTTAATCATTAAGTTACTTTTTGGCTTACCATTATGTATCATAAATAGAGAAAAAATATTGTATTTCCTTCAATAAATCTAAATTTCATTGTACTTGTTGAGAACAAAAATGAGTTAATTTTGAGTATTTGTATTAGTATTGATTTCTAAAACTGTTTGAAACATGATTAAAAAGAAAAAGAAAATAATACCAACAACACGCTGGAAAAATACTAATAATCACTTAGAAAGCAATTTTAATAAAGAATATCAATAATATCATAGAAATTATAATACTAATATTGCATAGAAATTGAAGCTATGGGGCTAGGCTAAAGACAATGTCATGCATTATCTATCTAAAGGTATCTCCGAATAGAATCGAGTTAACATGACTTATATACTAGTGACTCAAAATTTAAAAGATGCAGTGGTAACTAAGCTACATTACTTTTTCCTCCATCAGAATTTTATTCATAATAGAATTCGATAAATGGATGCCACTTGCTGATTCTTTGCTGTTTCGCAAGAGGTCGGGTTTTGAGTACTGGTCGTGCTACATGTATTAAGAACGCAGTTGTGAGTTTAGTCGCACATGTGTTGCAATTACCTGTTGAATGAGTACAAATCCGAATGTCGAATGTGTACTTGTGTGTTATCGAGACAGAGTTGCAACAGCGTGAGGAGAACAGTGTCACAGTCAGAAACAGCAAGTCAACTGCTCACTGTGTTCCATCCGTCAAATTAGGCATGCTTATATCGAAATAAGAGCTCTGCTGAGGTAGGCTTGTTCAGATCACGTCGTGTGTTATCGAGACAGAGTTGCAACAGCGTGAGGAGAACAGTGTCACAGTCAGAAACAGCAAGTCAACTGCTTACATAGAAATAAGAGCTCTGTTGAGGTAGGCGTGTTCAGATCACGTCCCTAAGTTACCAATGTGGGCGGAAACTACCCACAAGGTCAACCGTCATCTATCTAAAGGTACCTCTGGTTAGAATCGAATTAACATGTGTTATATTGTTGTCGTAGGTCATTAAGACACTGGGGTGTGTGATTGTTCTTGTTTTCCAGTGGCACTATCTATAGCCAAGAATTTGACTTCCGCCACACCCATGCGCTACACCCGTTTTATAAGACGTACTCATTCATACGTCCATTTATTTGTCCACAGATCGTAATTCTGACCTAAACCAGAAAAACGATCAATCTACAATCCAGTACCCACAGATGTATAATTTGTTTTGCGAACAAGGAGAACTCTGTGATCCCACAAATTTAACTTTTACCAGTCACCATTTACTACACTGTGAGTCTTCTGCCAGAAGGATTAGAACTCCCTTTCTCACAAACATGAGTTCAACGTCCTACCAACTATGCTATCCCGTCCACAACATTCCTTTTATAATAGTGAATTGGAATTTAGTAATTGTAAGTGTAGCTACGCTACAAAGATCATGCAAAATAATCTGTTATAATTATCACAATCATAATTATCTGTGATTATTAATTACTATTGATACCTAGAAAATGGTACTAAAAGACAATGTTTAATATATATTTCTCAAGAAATTATGACTATTATTATGCATTGAATCAGCGATTGTAGTGAATACTAAAACTTCTTCAAAAACCATACTTGTTACAGTTTATGAAACAATAAATGCCCTACTTAAATACATAGAATGCTACGTTTGGTTTCCCACATTTCTCGTGTACTAGCTGTCGATTATAAACAATGACTCAAATAACATTCCTTTGTTTTCTAAGTCATGACTGAAGTGCATATATAGTGTTCCTCGAATACAAAAGTGACATTTAACTTCAAGAATTGCAATTTACAACAGTAGCTAATAACGTTATTAATAAGTTCGGAAATAAGTTCAAAATTTTACATTACAATGCACCTGAAAAATTCTCTAACTTTAATTCTTGTACGAAACACACTTTCACTTATACTTTACAGATCATGATTCAATTTATTACATATTGAAATGCTAATAAAAATTCTCCCTTAAACTTTATCGCTAATTCTAATTTTTTGAATAAAGGGTAGTAGTTGCTTCAATACAGTAAATCATTACAGATGCAGGGCTCTAAATCCTGCATCTACACATACATGCATCAGTCAGTAGAATGAAAATTGACTCCTAACATTTGAAAAAAGTCAAGAAAAACGAATGAAGATTTTTCTTTTCTCAAACAGCCTTTCCAATTTCTTCCTAAAATCTGAATGTTTGAACTCTTGATTCAACTCGGCTCAGATATTTCAAGCGTATGCAATTTTTTTGCTATGGTTATCTTAAATCCATCTCTGTTAAAGTTTGTCACTGTTCAAATTTGCATCTCATATTCGTGGAAAAAGAAAATTTTCACCCAATACTTGTAGAAAAATTCGGATATGCACTTCGTGGAAATGCAAAACGTATATCGATCTTTGCTGAAACTTCGAAGCCTGTCTCGTTTCACAAATGCTACCATTTTTGGCGAAGAAAACTGGCATTATCGAAGCATATTCTTATAAAAATAGTGTGTCTAGCTTTCTTTTTTTTTATATATATATTTTTGCAAAATGTCAGGAGAAGGTGTTGAATATTGGAAAAAAATTCGAAGCATCAATTTAAATAAATCATCCTATATTCAGTGTGTATATTTCTCAGGTGTGCAAATTTGTTTTTTAAATAAGAATACTAAGTGCAAACATTGTTTAGACTTATAAACTATGCAGTAAAGAAGTAGACTTATTGTTAGACTCATTCTACAAAAATATTATCTGCATTTCTAATTAGAACGAGGATAAGTAACGCATGAAACGGTGAAGTGTTGCGTATCTTTGAGTCCATGTTATAGTTTGCTCCATTATAATGAAAAATTAAACTAACTGTTAAATTAAGATAATAAGACTATTAAAAATACTTTAATGTGTGAAATAATGACTCTGTTTGACTGCTTTCAGAACATTTTGGTTTAGAAATAAGCATGTTAAAGACAAACATTATTTAGGCGTATAAACTATATGGAAAAAGAAGAGTTTTTATAAGATTCTTAGCCCTGTAAAACAAACATTATATTTATGATACACGTTCAAGTGTACCGTATCTTTAAACTAGCTGCAGTGTTAGTTCACATCCTAATAGTAATCTAATAAATAAAAAACATAATAGTTTTGGAAAAAACAGTTAAAATTAATTCAATAATGCAAATTTTATGATTCAATTTCTCTACTGTTATAATAGCAGATTAATCTCTTTTAAGAAAAAACTTATATTCTCATTAAATTTAATGTTTGTGGTACTTTTGGAAAAAGGACATAAATGTTTATTACTTATAAAGTTTAGTCAGTAATTTAAAAAAAATAAAATACAGGGAAAATAAAATTAACTAGGCATTAAACTTTAATAGAGGGTCCTGATTTTTAAAAATAAAATCATTATATCAATACATTATATCAATACATTATAAATTATTGACAACAAATTGTTATTTCTTTTTTTTCTCTAATTACGAGACAGGTAGGTTTTTGGAATCATTCATTTTTGAAATACTTTCCTTGATAAATCTTAGGATATTCTGCGTATTTAAGAAATAATTTGTGAATGATATTTCCATTCTCAATTTAAAATAAAAAAGTTAAACAAAGCGACTATTTCGTAAAAAGAAATAAAACATAAAAAATGTGTTTTTGCAAATGCTGCAGAAAAAAAATTAGATGTAAACTATCTGCTTTTTATCTATTTGGTGTGAATAAATTGGCAAGAAAGGCAGCTTTATATCTATAGAAATAGTTAGCTCTTTGAAAGTTGTTAATAGAATTTAAAAATAGAGTCTATTCATAGTATTTTTACTTGTTTAAATTTATTTGATGAATAAGATGAATAGAAAAATATAAAGTTGGAGTGTGAAAAATAAGAAATGGAACGAACGTGTAAACTTGTTTCAAACAAGTGTATATATTGACCTTTTATTTATAACTCTATTAATTATATTATTTTATAGAAAGTAGAAAATGTAATTATTTATAAAAATTAATATGAAAGGTATGAAAAATAATTTTTTTAGACCCTTCTCTCATCTAAAGATTTTATTAATTTAATTTTCATTCCCCTATTTTAAAAGAAATAGCACTTCTACCACTTACCAATAACTTTTAAAATCATGCTATGCGTGAAAGTCCTTGCCCATCTGTAGTCCACTCTACACCTGTATATTCCAGCGTCTTTTTCTTGAATCGGTTCTATCCTAAGAACCGTAGGTTTTGAAAAAGTTTCAAAGTAGGCTCTTGAGCCTAAAGTAGTGCCCGGAAAGTGCTTCGCTTTCTCAAGTGGGCTATTCCTAGCATCGACACTGTAAATGGGGGCTCTGGCATCTTCTTTATACCACAAAACTAGAGATACTTTATCCTCGGAGGAGTAATGTGTTATATTGCATGGCAGCTCAGCTCGTCCACCCGCCACCGAATGGAATTCTGGGAGCTCTGTGAAAAGATAACATGAATTAGTAAATGTAAATTTCTTGAACTGTTTGTAAAAAAGTAATAATTGAAATATTATGTACACTTTTGTCTCTTCTATTATCTGCTTTGTTTTTCTTTTATTTTGATCTTACATGGAGTTAGTTATTACAATTATGAGTCGAGATGGTTCAGAGGTAAAAAACATAGAGTTTTAATCAAAATTAATTGGGCTCAGCTTCAGTGGTAGCTAGCTTGGAGTTCACCCAGCTTTAGATCCTCGTAAGTAAAAGCACACTGTTAAAATATTCATATTAACAGAGAAGGTTGAATAAAAATTTATTTAGCTGTTAATTTACCACATTCAAACAAAAATGTCAAATAATCATAAATAAGATGGTATTTGAACTTTTAACTGTGAGAAACTATTTATGAACTGTTTTTGCCTAATACGGTTAAACAACCAGAATTTTATCGCACCAACTAGACCCACCTAATAAAGCTACTTAATTATTTGCATCTAGGTACGCATTATAGCATAGAGAGCTTAATATGTCAATCTCATGACCAGTAGAATGGGGGCTCGAGTCTCAGCCCTGACGCAACACATGATATTTCGTCTTTTACCATTAACAAATGAAGAGTTTCCAGTGTCTTACACTCCCCAATTTGTGACTCAGGACAATCAGAAAATATTCTCTTTCACAGATAGATGGCAACCCTATAAATCTGCTGAATTACCTCCAATGTCCAGTTAAATCTCTTTTTTTTACGATTTTGAAACCATGCTCGTTGTAAATGATTTAAAAACCATTTAGTGTTACATTCATGGTTCTTTAACCATGGTAATTGTAAACAGTTTCAAAACTGCAACGGTAAAGAAATATGGTCTTTACCCTAAATTTTACACTTAATTAGATGGACAGACTGCTACCGACTATTTTACCAAAATTTTAGAATGAAAATTCTAACAGTGCTACGTAGTGCGCAATGCTGCGTATATTGAATCTATTTTTCTATTGCTTATGCAATTATGAGATCTTATCACTAATGACTACAAGATGGGAATAGTATTTATGTCATGATTAAGCTTTTTTCCCATTATGTAATAAAATATTAATTATGATAGCCATTTAGTAAATTCTTCAACAACGGATTATAAAATAGTTCATAAATGCCTTTTTAAAAGACACTGTGCATAATTAATTACGTCACATTAAAGGGGGAAAATAGATTTTGAGAACTTAAAAAATATCCATGTACAAAGTTATGTAAAGCTAAATTATAATATCATGCATAATAATATTATTTTATGGAACATATTTTAATCATTTATTTGTGTATTGTTGTAAATGACTAACGCAATTAATCTGAAAAACAATTTACTCCAAGCATGCTTCAAACTATTTTTATTTTTTTCGAATTTCGTTATTTTTTTCGAAGAAATATATTACAATTTGTAATGTAAACTATGTGTATATGTAAACTACCATTATGAACCCAAAATATAAAACGTCATCTTATGTTTTGGTTAATGTACTTTACTGCTGCTTATATACTGTAATGCATGCACTGTCATGCATGTAGCGTTTACTGATATTTGAATACTTTTAATTAATTCATGTGGGGTTAAGTTTTGTCGTATGGGCTAACGCACGTATTTTCACTTGCCCTCACTAATTAAAATTAAACTTCAGAACTTATTTTAGATATTATAAGCTATAAGCATAAATAATAATTGACTTTTTGTTTACTTCTAATATTTTTTTATGGAAATAAGTATTAAATAACACGAAGAATTTTTTTTCAATTAAAAACTCTCATCTTAAGCTTAATTGAAAGAATTTTAAAGTGATTTTTATTACCTTGCTCTAATGATTTTTTCCAAATCTTAAAATCGCAATTTATGTCCGAAATTGAAATATTGTTTAATATTAAAAAATTAGTTTTCCGATATTTTTCGATATTTTGAGCAATATAAAAAAAACAAAGACGTATTTTCTAAAATAAATTGGTTTTTTGAAAGTACCTGTGTAAGCGTAGCATAAAATAATATCAATATGTATTAGTTCAGAAAGCTTAAATCACTGTTCCCTTCATTCTTCGAGTTAAGCTAGCGTAACTAGTTATTATTTTGTTTATGTCGCTACAATGTTGCGTAGGTTTCTCACAAAAAACTAAAAATTCATGAGTTCTAAATAAGAATAAAAGAAAAGTTTTGTACGAAATCTCTTACATAAATTGAAGTGTCATGTTTTTATCTAAAAACAAAAGCTGTAACGAAAGTGCAAGAGCAGTGCTCTTCAAAAAGTGAAGTCGTGGTGACACTTTTTCTCCTACACTTCAAACTTTAACCAAGACTATGTACTTAAGTTGGCTTTGTCTAAGATAATTAGAAAAGATCGATGTTGTCACGAATCTTGTAAAAGAAATTTTTTAGTTTAAAATTTATAGCCAGGAGCAACTTCATTTTACTTTAAAGTACATCGATAGGATACGATATATTATAATTGAAAAATATATGCTTTTCTTCACAAAAATGAAACCTGTTTCTACATTGTAAATTTTAATGCCTCATTTGAAAAATGTTTGAAGAAATAATCACTATAGTAATTAACTGATATTTTCTGTGATGTAATTTAATGGAGTTTCTCTATTTTCTAACTTATTATATATTAATGGGATGAAATGTCTTGTAATTGAGAAATATGTTTTACTTTATAAAATACTTGTTTCAATTTTGCAAATTTATGAGCAAACAAGTTATGATAATGTTCATAAAATCTTGTTTTAATCTTGTTTTTTGAAATATGATACTGTAATTTAAATACCTCAATTATAGATTATTTGAAGAAGAAAAAATAATCGGGATAGTTATAAACTAATGATATAGTTTGTTTCCTGTGATAAAATTTGAAGAGGATGCTCTATATTCTGATTACGTATGCATTGATGTGATGCAATGTCTTTTAATTGACAAATGTGTTTTACTTTATAAAAACCTTGTTACAATGTTGCAAATTGTGCAAATTACGCAAATATGTGATGATGATAAATTAAAAACTTGTATTTTGAAATATAACAGTGTAATTTAAATACCTTGTTTATAGAATATTAGAAAAACAATGATAGCGATGGTAATAAACTTTTAATAAAGTTTGTTTAGGGTAATGCAGTTTAATGATGTTTCTAATTTCTAATTTATTATGTATTAACAGAATGAAATGTCTTCTAATTGACAAATATGTTTTACTTAATAAAATAATTTTTTCGATGTCGAAAATTTAGACACAAGCGAGTGATTATGATATTTTTAAAACTTGTTTTTGAAATATAGTACTCTAATTTAAATACCTCATTTATGGAATATTTGAAAAACATAATCATGTTAGTAATAAACTGATGATAAAATTTGTTTCCTGTGTTTAAATTTAATTCTCTATATTCGAATTTATTATGTATTGATATGATGTATTGTCCTGTAATTGAAAAATGTGCTATCTTTATAAAAACGTGTTTCAATACAGTAAATTTATGCGCAAACAAGTGATGATGATATTTTTAAAACTTGTATTTTGAAATATAACAGTGTAATTTAAATACCTTATTTATATAATATTAGAAAAACAATGATAGTGATGGTAATAAGCTGGTGGTATAGTTTGTTTCCTGTAATGTAATTTAATGATGTTTTTCTATTTTCTAATTTATTATATATTAAAGGAATGAAATGTCTTTTAAATGACAGATATGTTTTACTTCGCAAAAAAGTGTTTCAATGTTGCAGACTTATGCGCAACAAGTGATACGAATATTTCAAAACTTTTTTTTTGAAATGTGACATTGCAATTTAAAAATCTCATTCTAGAATATTAGAAAAAAAATTTACAGTGATAATAGTAAACCGATGATAAAGTTTGTTTCTTGCGTTGCAATTCAAAGAAAATTCTCGATATTCTAACTTATTAAATATCGGTGTAATGCAGTGTCTTGTAATTGAAATTGTCCTTTATTACTTTAAAAAGCATGTTTAAATGTTGCAAAATTAAATGAAAACAAATGAAGATATTTTTGAAACAATTTTCAAAATAATTTTTATTTATTGGCATGATGTAATTATAAAAATATGCTTTAAGTTATGAAAAACATTGTTTGAATGCTGCATAAATAAATGCGAAGAAGTAATGATAATATTTTTTAAACTTATTTTTGAAATATAATTTAATAAATATATAACATTATTTTCAATTCAAGAGAATATAATAATTGTATAAGAATAAAAAATATCTGGATTTGGTTGGGGGATAATTTTTTCAGTCTAAATGATTTGCTACATATAGTATTTTATTCAACATTTTATTCTAAAATATGCCGATCTGATGCGATGTTTTAAATGAAATATATGCTTTACTTTTATGAATAAAATCTATTTCGATGTTAGGGATTTAAATATTTTATTTAAGGAAATGAACAAAAAAATAATCGCAATGAAGATAAAACTTATTTATTAAACGAAAATGTATTAATTTTCAGTTTTTGAAATAAATTTGTTGAAGCAGATGAATGTGTCTTTAAAATGCAATCGACTAAATATTTTTAAATTTTTTTTATTCAAAAAACGATGTTATTTTTCAAATTATAAAATCATTATAATTTTTTTTAAAGAATTATCTTGGAAGTTATTTTTTAACTTCAAGTGTAATCGAAAAGTTTTTTTTTCTTGTTATATAGTAATTTTATAAATTATTAAAATATTTAAAACTTTGCTTGGCTATAAAAAATAATACCAAAATATACAGTATTTAAACCATTCATTTTGGTAATTTCCATTTTCATATGGTAATGGTTTCCAAGAAATTCCTGTTTTTTTTTTTAAAAAAATGTTCCGAAAGTTTTAAAAGAATATTCGAAAATTCATATCTTTACTCTTCCAATTATTTTAAAAAAAGCAAATTACTGTAGGAAATTTCTGTTCTCAAAATATTAAATTGGAAAGGTACAACGGCGAGTTTTCTAATATCCAA